ACTGAGGCATCTCCCTCCTACGCTACGAACACCTACGCTCTAGTGGCATGTTTTGCGAGTATATGGGACAAAAGCGTCGAAAATGTCCCAAAAAGCGTGTCTCGAGTTTGTGGCAGCCCCACAGCTGGCGCGCGCTGCCAGGAAGCACCGCTCGCGTGTCGGCCGCACTCCCTGGCACCCAGGGAGTGCGGCCGACCGACCAGACCGAGTAGGCTCGACGCCGCGCTCGCTGTGGGGCTGCCACAAACTCGCCGCCGAACGTGCCACCGACGGCGTCCTGGCGGAGGTGGTGGAGTTTGAGACCTGAGGCTGCGGAGGTGACGCCTGAGGTACCGGCCCGTGCACGGCGACTCAGCCGGCGACCGCCACGGGCTCAGACGAGACTTGTCGACGCGTTACGGCTCAGCTTCACCGTGGTCCTCGGGCGTCTGTCAACGTCAGGACCACCCATACAGCTCGCGGGTTCGAGGTCGCAAGAGCCAAGATGGTGGCGTTTGGACATCCCAACCATCACACAAGACAGCCTGTAGGTGGTGGCGGGACGGCGAAGTGTTTGTGGCACTCGGCAGTAGGCACCCGCGGCACGGCCCCGCTGTCGGCTCTCGCGGGCTGCGGAACCGGCCCCAGAGGGGGACGGTCCGGGCGAGTGTGGCAGCTTCTGCGCTAGTATGGGCAGCCTCTATCATAGCACTACTGATCCTGGTCATTAGAGCTGCCAGGGATAGCGTCAGGGGCCGGTAGGAGTCAAAACCCCTCATATTTGAGACATCGTGTCCCATATACTCGCAAAACGAGCCAAGTACGAGTGCCTACGCTACTAGATTCCCTACTCCTCCTCCTCCTCCTCCCCCTCCTTCCCCTCCTCCTCCTCCTCCTCCCCCTCCTCCTCCTCCTCCTCCTCACTCTCGCCGCACCCTCGTCCAGCTCCACGTCAGCTCCGGCCGTCGGACCAAAAAAGAAATCCCCGGGCCCTAACTGCTGCTACCCCGCCGTGCCTAACTCAGTGCAAAGCACCTAACCTAACTCAAGCTACCTTACCTTAAGTTCGGCACCCTACGGTAGTGTCCCGGGCCGCTGCGGCACCGTTTATACGGCCCCTCGTGATGTCTTTCCGAATTTGCATTGTGAGTCGTCCTCTGGCCAGCCGAGGGGCACCAGAACGGCATGTGTACTGGTGCTGGCTGCGGGTGCGGAACGGGCGTTAACTCGCAACCAACTATAGTCTATACTTATACAAGGACACCCTCGGGGCGTCGGGGGGGGGACACTTGGCGCATGTGCGTCACGTCAGGGTGGAGTTGGCAGTGGCCGAGCGTCGTCTCCCAATCGACTCGCAGCGCGGAGTCGAGGGGTGAAGCGCGTCGCGCTGCGACACTCGAGAGCCGGCGGGATAGCCGTGGGGCGCGGCCCGACTTTGAAGCCCCCTCGAAGACCCGGTGCGCATTCGTCCTCTGAGACCCACGCGTACAGGAAAGGGGCGAGAACGCAGCCATTCCCCATTGACAATCTAACGCAACCTTGAGAGGTCCACACAGTGAGCCAGCGCTTCACTACGCCCTCCGCGCGAAATCGCTAGTGGTTTGGTATGTTGTTGTGCTTTGTGGTAGTACATTGTACTTTTGAGTAGTATGCGTACGGTGCCGGAGACCGGCCACATTCTCCCTGTCGCCCCACTCCGCAAGTGCCAGGTAGGTAGGTAGAAAGTGAAGAACAGCCAGGCTCGGACTGGACACCAACTGGTATGGG